GGGGACCCGGAGCCCTGGCCGGGGCGAGGGCTGGCCTGGCGCTGGCCTGGCACCGGCGTGGTGCTGTGCTCGGCGAGCCGGCGGTGCCGGCGTTGGCACGTGGTGACTCTGCCGGAACGTGGTTTGGTTCGGGGCAAAGCGGGCGTTTCCAGCACGCGGCAGAGCGTGGCCGGGTGGGGCAGGATTCGGTTTGGTCCGCGGAGACGAAGGCGGGTGGTTTCCAGCTGGGTTTGGGTCGTTCCTGAGGGTCTCCTTTGGCAGTGCCGCCCTCGGTTACAGAGGGGCACGATGCCCGGTGCAGATGCCCAATGCTGGTGCGTGATGCCTGATGCCCGACACCTGCGCGCGCTGCTCTCTCCCTTCTCCCCGCAGTGATTGTGGAGTGCTGTGCATGGCTCTGCCCCAGCCTCGGCAGCGGGACGGGCTCCATGCTGAGTACCGCCATCCCCTGCACCCGCCTGGGGACCGCGACAGGGGAGCGCTGCCAGACAGGTACCGCCGGGACTGGGTCCCATCGTGGCCCTTGGTCTGCGGCACCGCGTGCCCGCCACATGCGTTGGTGCCAAGCTGCGGCCCGGGGCGCTGAGCCAGTGGCTGTGGGGTGCCGGCTGCGGGTCAGCCCTGCTCAGCATCCCCTCACTTCTGCCTCTGCCTGTAGATCCGGAGCGAGGAGCTGGCACGGGGCGGGCGCCGATGCCGGAGGCCGTGGGGCAGCTGCGGACAGAGGCTGGGCTGCTGCCCTTCCCTGGGACACCTGCCAGGACTGCCGAGCCCCCCAGTCCCCAGGGGAGCACCCACGCAGGCGGGGAGGGGACAGGGCCCGCGGCGTGGGATGGAACAGCCACCGAGCGCCCAGGGCTCCCACTCTTTGCAGGCACCACTGAGCGGCCATCCCCTGCCCCAGCACCTACGGAGCCGGACACAGCTCCTACCGCCGGATCTCCCCCCGGGACTGACCCTGTAGGAAATGTGATGGTGGAAGGTGCCACGACTCCACAGGGGAGCCCCTCGCATTCACCATCCTCCGTGACGGTGCCCGGCTCTGCTGGGAGGCAGTGGGGGTCCCCCAGCACCCTGCCAGGACAGAGCCCCAAGGGGACAGGGCTTGCACAGAGACAGGGGGGCTCACAGGGCCCCTCGTCCCCGGAGCTGTGGGCTGGGGAGGGCACAAGTGCCACCGTCCCGCTGGGTGATGGCAGCCCAGGGACTCACCCGAGCATTGTGCCAGCCACGGGTAGCCCTGCGCTGGAGATGACGGGGACGTCCCCCTTTGTCGGGGGGCTGCAGAGGCTGCTGAGCCCCGCGGGGACACCGCAGGGGACATGGCAGGGGCTGCCAGGGCTGGCAGGAGGTCGGGGCTCTGAGTCCCGCCTGTGGCGTGGGACGGACATCGCCTGGCAGGGTCCCCGCTCTGCCCCTCGCCCCTCTCTGCCATCCCTGGGGGCTGGTGGCCCTGGGGGCCCCCTGGCCAGCACAGCCCAGCCAGCCATGGGGACAGGCCCAACCTCGCTGCCTTCCACAGGCAAGGGATCAGGTCTGCCTGTCCCCACCACCACCACCAGCACCCCAGGCGTGACAACCCCGAGCCTGGGGGGAGCCCTGGACCCAACCACGGGGGTGTTGGGGCCACCCGACACAGAGGGTACCCCTCAGCACAGCCACATCCCCCTGGTCCAGACCTGGCGTCCACCACCCATGCCAGGGCAGCCCCCCACCTCGGTGGCCCCAGGCAGCACTGTTGCGGCACAGAGCAGGGTGCCGTACGCCAGCACAGGGTCCCCCCGCGTGCTCCCGTCCCTGCAGCCCACCCCAACTGGCAGCTCTGCAGTGACCCTGTCACCGACCCCACAGCCCTCCCCGGGGACCAGCCGGGGTGTCCTGGGGCTCAGCCCTGCTTTGGGCACCCCCCCAGCAGGGCCATCCCTGGGGCACTGGCTGCCCCACCCCAGCTCGGGGGGGGATCCTGCTAAGAGCCCCCAAATCCTTGGGGGGACCACGGTGGGGGTAGGTGATGCCATGCCCTGGGCAGCAACTGCTCCGCTGAGCTGGCAGCCAGGCAGCTCTGCCCCCCCCTCAGCCCCTGGGCCCCCCCAGCAGCCGGCTGCATCCCAGTCTGCATCTCCCCTGGGGCTGACCACCACTGTCAGCATCACCGCCACCGCTGCCGCTGCTGTCACCACCACCACAGCTGCCACCACCAGCCCAGCACAGCTCAGGGACATGGGGACAGTCACGACGGAGCCCGGTGCTGCGGTCTTGCAGGGGAATGCAGCAGGGCTGACGTGGGGGCCCCCAACTCATTTGCCCACCATGGTGCCAGGGCCCCCACAGCAGCCCACCGATCCCCCTGGGACCCTGAACCATCGTGGGGGCCCCGGGTCCCCCCCAGCTGCCGGGGACACAGACCTGGTCCAGCCGTTGAGCAGCTCCAGAGGGTGGCCAGATGCTGACACCCCCCGAGCGACTCTGGCCCCAGCCACGGCAGGCAGGGCCCCCCGGGTGTTCATCGTGGAGGATCAGCCACCCCTCCTGAGAGGTGCGTCTGGGGGGGTTTGGGACCCTCTGCCTGGGCATGGCGGGAGGAGAAGAGCTCCAAGGAGCCATCAGCTTGGGGCAGTCAGTGGTGGTGGACCCCCCCGGGGCAGGCAGTGCGGGTCCCTGTAGTGCTGATCCCTGTCTCTCCTCCCACAGCATCCCTCCTCCGCATCCCCTGTGAGCTGGTGCTGGACATGGGGTTCGTTCCCGCCCTGCAGGACCCCGGGTCCCGCGAGCGCCAGGGCCTGCTGCACAGCTTCAACCGGACGGTGAGCATGGGACGGGGCCGTCCGGGGGGGGAAGGCTGCGGCCGGGGGCCATCCTGCATCGTGCTCAGCTTCCTCCCTGCACAGGTCGCGCCCCTCTTCATGTCGGTGCCCGGGTTCCTGCGGCTGGAGGTGACGGGGATCAGGTAGGTGCTTGCACAGCCCCGCAGCGTGCGATGCTCCCTGGCACGGGGGGTACAGGGAGCGTCACACGCTGCGGGGCTGCAGCGGTGCCGGGGTGCAGTGCTGGACCGGGGGGTCCGAGCCACCACCCCTGGACTCGTCGTGGGGTGTCCCCTCAGGGAGGGCAGCGTGGTGCTGGAGTACGACGCGCTGTTCGCGGCAGAGCGGGTGCAGGCGCCAGGGCTGGGCGAGCTCCTCGACGGCGCCCTGGGCTCCGGCGGCAACCGGCCAGGGCTGGCGGTGGGCACCGCTCCCGTCCTGCGCAACATGGCTCTGGGTGAGCGCGGGGCGTGTGTGGGGCCGCGCCATCACTGCACCCTCCCGCGGTCCCCAGGGTCCAGTGCCCGGCCGGGGCTGGTCACAGGTGGGCATGTGCCTGGCCCTGGCTCCCTGCTGGGTGGGGAGGGGGTGGCACAGCCGAACGCCCCTCTACTGCAGAGCGGCCTCTGGACCCCTGCGCTGTGCTCTTCGCCTGCCGGGCCGGCTTCGCCTGTGTGGCCGGGGCGGACGGGAACGCCACCTGCACCTCCCTCTGCCACCGCGACTACTGCAAGAACCACGGCATCTGCACCCACCCTCGGGACCGCGAGCCCCTCTGCCAGTGAGTGCCCCTGGGACCAGCTCTGGGGTGACGGGTGCTGTCCCCCGCCCCGGTGGCCGATCCCCCCCCCACCTTGGCACAGGTGCCCCGTCGGCAGCGATTTCTGGTTCATGGGGCTGCGCTGCGACTACCGGGTGACGCAGCAGAGCCTGCTGGGGATGGCCGCGGGGGTCCTGCTCAGCATCGTCCTCCTGGGTGCCGTCGTCGCCGCCGTCGCCATCCGCCGGTTCAAGGCGCTGCTGATGGAGGCCAGGGCCGACCAGACCCGCAGCAGGTGGGGCGCGCGGGGCTGGTGGTGGTGGTGTTGGGGGGGCCGGGACCGGGCTCCAGGATGGCCCTGGATGGAGGGGTGCTCCTGCTGCGAGGCCGATTCCCCGGGGTGCTGGGGGGGGGGGGCTGTAGGGAGGGGCACTGCCCCCCCCCGGGGGGTGACGGGGGGCCGTGAGCCC